TCTTCATTCACTCTCGAATGTAAGATACGTAGGCACAAGATTACGACGATCTTGGCGAGCACATTTCCATTTTTCTCCGCTATTCCACACTTTTACCTTTCTCCATTATTTCGTTCACAATCCCCTTCATCTTTCGTTTCCCCCATCCTTTCCCGTAGTCGAACTACGTCGCTCTGATTTCTCATTCTCGTCTAAATGAGCATACGTAGGCACAAGGGCTCCAATCCTTGGCGAGCACCCTATCCTTTGACCACCCATTTTCCTATAACGTCTTTTTACCTTTACCGTATCGTTTAGTATTCAGTATTGAGAAGAGAACAACTAAACTTAGCTAACGTTCATCACAATCTAAACTAAGAGGTTCCTGTTAAGTACAATGGACGTGAGGGGTGCTAATACCTTCCCCTAGCTCAACTGACTCCCGAACCCAAAATATCAGGTTGCAAAGGCTGTATTCCTTTTGTTTTAAGAGGTTTTCTCGATATTTTCCTCTCCCGTTTGTTCGGGATAAATAAATCCCGGTGGCGACTCTGTCGAACCGCATTTCCACGCCTTTAGCGTGATGGTCGTGTTTTCGAATGAATTTTTGAGGTGCGACACATACCTACGGAAGATTCTCGAAAAGTTTGGTATGTCGAATTCAAAGCCTTTGTTACTCCGACAAACCCTCAATTCAAGTTGAGTATAAATCAGTGTCCCAGTAATGATGTCGAAAGAGGTTATATGAATAGCATTCCATATGCTAATATAGTGGACTCTTTGATGTATGTTATGGTCTGTACTAGACCCGACATAGCATATGCACTAAATCTTGTAAGCAGGTGCATGACAAATCCTAGAAAGACTCACTGACAAGCATTGAAGTGGATTATAAGGTACATAAATGGGTCTCTGAATAGAGTCCTAATTTATGGTGGAGCCTTGGGTGAAGATAATAAAGCAGCAATTGAAGGAAATGTCGACTCTGATTATGCAGGTTGTATGGATTCCAAAAAATCTATTTCTGGATATGTGTTAACTATGTTTGGGACATCAATTAATTGGAAAGCTACACTTCTGAAGGTTGTTGCCTTATCAACCACTAAAGCGAAATTTATCGCCCTAACTGAAACTGTGAAGGAAACATTGTGGCTTGAAGATTTTACAAAGAAGCTGAAACTTCAAGGTCGAGTTATCACTATTAAATGTGATAGTCAAAGTGCAATACACATGTCAAAGAATTCAGCCTATCATGAGCGAACCAAGCACATTGATGTGAGGCTGCATTTCGTCAGAGAGGTAATCGAGCGTGGAGAAGTCCAAGTGCTGAAGGTTTCGACAGATTATAATGTTGTTGATATGATCACCAAGACGTTTCCCAGTTGTAAGTTTTTCCACTGTATGCAGTTGATAAAGCTGCATGAAGAAATCAAGTTTCTTGATGTTATAGAGTTAGATCCAAGGTGGAGATTTGTGAGATATTGGATCAAACTCTAGTATGCTGTCGGAGTAATGCGTGTTGTAGTCGAAGTTTATTCTAACATGCATTAGTCAAAATTGCTAGTTTTGTTAGCATGTTGAATTGGGTCTTTCTTGTAAGCCTAATTTTTTAAGTTAGCTTGTACCCTAATTTAGCTTGTACTGAGTAATTGTGAAAAACTCATTAGGTTAGTGTGTTAGTTTTCTTATAAATAGCATGCTAGTGTCTCAATTTGTATAAGAAAAAATAAGAAGATAAAATCATAATTCAAGAGAGAGAGGTTATTTGTTATTCTTGTATACTTGTAATCTTATTTGATAGATAAAGGAAAGAATAACAGTTTATAATCAATCCTTGTTGTTTCTTCTTGTTCTTTTTGCTTGTTTTCTTTGTTAACTCTAACCCTTGTGTGTTTCTTGTTTATAAATAAACCGTTTATATTTTGTTTGAAAACATTCTATTCACAACAGTTATCATCAAAACCCAAATGAAATATGTCAAAAACAAATCTTATTCTAACAAACCCACAAAACACTAAGACCGTAACAATGACCTCGAGACATACCGCCTAGCAACATCTACCCATAATCAAAGTCTTTTCTCACCATAAACCTCTTTTGTATCTTTGGTAAAATGTTCATCATTCTTAATTATTAGAGTAAGACGCTTCTGATAGTTATCCCGAAGAAAAATAACTCACATAAGTTTGAATAACCAAATACAACTAACATGAAAGTATTTTGAATAAAATTGTCTCATGTTAAGTTACTAACGTATTATTGATAAGGGAACCAAATGTTGATTATTGACTATTCTAATCAACCATTCCTCCTTTTCTTGTGAATATAATATTTTAATAAATGATTATGACTTGTACAAAGATTAAGAGAGCAAGAAATTAAAAACCTCTTAAATCTCAAATTAAAGTCTTATTTTTTGATTAATCGGTTGGTTATATTTTTGTTTCTGTTTCTTCTTATGGATCCTGAAAATTCTTGAGAAGAAAATTTATTAGAGGTTATGTCTCAGTATGGTTCTAGTTTTGTTTTTGTTTCTGTTTCAAAAGATTTTTGGTGCAAGCAATATGGTTGTCTCTCAAAAGATTTTTGGTGCAAGCAACATTTTTGGACATGATTAAATTTCTAATTCTATGAGGCACTGTAATTCTAAAAAAAAAACTTATATATCAGTATCCTATGAGGCCATATGTGAAACCTGCCTTGATTTTGCTTGTTAATCTCATGAGCCAATGTTTGAATGCTTGTGCCAACTTGCTGTTATTGCTCTATGGAACCTCAACTGTCAGGACTGGACAGTCCTCTAAATGACATTCTTCTGCTGACAGCTGGCCCAGTTTCTTAAGATTTAGATTCAATTTAAGTATGACCCTTTGACATGTTTGATTTTGTTTGGTTTGTTTGTTTTAATCATTCTGTTTTGAGTATGCTCAAATCGTGCCTATAATTGCATTTCACATGCCAATTTCTTGTCATAATGTATTTTGATTCAGGTTTCTGTTGAAATTTGATCTAGTACATGTTTCAAATCAGTTTGTATTTAGAACTCAGCCTGCTTGCATCTGTTTTGGTCCACGAAACTCAAAATGCATCCTAAAGCTTTAAATTTCATTTTCAATCGAGTTTTATTTTTTTATACATCTTTTGAAAAAATTAATAGAACCATCATGATCCTCATGAAAAATCAAGTGGTTTAGACTTAAATTTCATTTAATTTGATCAAGAATTGAGTGAGGTATGATGAAATCGTTTTTGAGTTTTTTTGCCTTGGTTTTGCCTTCAAGAGTTGCCCAGCTTGTGCCTTACTTAGGTATATTTTCAACTAGGGTGGCTTGATACAATGGATGTATCACCACCCCAGTGGTTAGTGCATTGCCCATAAGAACTTTTTCATGCTCAATAACCTGTGGTCGACCCTCAGCGAGGGCAATTTTTGCTCATTTTCTGATTTTTCATGATTTTTAATATTTGTTCTTCTTTTTCCATTCTGTTTCGCATGTGCATGATGGTTGGGTTGGTATTGTTTTATGCCTATGACCCTAAGGTCTTGGGTTCAAGCCTTGTGTGAGGCATTTCCTTATTTTTTAGCACTTGGTTTATTTTATTTCACTTTAATTTCATTTAACTTTCAATTTTACATAACTTCTTCATTTTTACTCTTTTTTAAGTGGTTTTTTTTCCAAATTCTTGTTTTAATGTGTATTTTCACATGATGATTAAAGAATTTTAAAATTCTTATTTTAGAAACATTTTTCATTATGGGAAAATTGTAATTTATTTTAGGGTTTTCACCCTCCTACCTCGCATTCTGTCATTTTCAAAACTTTGGACTTTATTCTTCTTTGAGTTTTATTCGAGGATGACCTGAACTTGGATTGTTGGTCCTTGTACATTTAAGTATTGAAATTCACCTTTGCTTGTACGCATTTAAGTGGTTCACCTTTAAAAAACTGTTGACTATCCCCATGAGATTTTGAACCGTTTTGTTTACATCGTTGTGACATTGTTGGTTTATGTATGATAACCTTAATCATCTCGCCGTGGACATCCTTTACCCGTTTTCCTGACCTTAGGATCTGGGTCGCCGTGCTTATGTTTAGTGTCCCGCCGTGGACATTCTCTACCATAACAATCTCAATGTAGATTCAGGAGTCGCCGCACTCCATGTAAGTACTTCCATATGAATGTTTACCTCCCTTTGGAACCTTGACCACAGTCAAGAGTTCCTCACCCTTCACTAGGGGAACTACGGTTGCTCTGATTCCATTCCTGTCAGGATACGTAGGCACGAGATGCGATGTCTTCGTGTGCAAACTTTGTACATACTTTGTATATACTTTAGATATTTACCTTAGCACTTTTCCTTTAGCAAGCAAACTCTAGCAAACACAAATACTAACAAGAGGTTCATGTAGAGTACTACAGATGTTTAGGATGTGAAATATCTACCATATGCATAACCAACCCCCGAACCTTTAGATCTCTCTTTGCTCAGGTTTAGGCCTTGTCTTTTGCTTTGCATTTTTAAGGTTTATCTTTCTTTAGACCTTTCCTTTGGATAAATTAAAGATCGGTTGTGAATTTGATGGATTAAGATTCAAGTTAATCAATAGCTTGGTATCACGATTCTCACCGCAATACCATCTAATATCCATCTTAGTTCAAATTCAATCCCACTTGAAATTTCCAAGTTTCAATTCATATTCAATTACATTTCAAGTTCTGAGTTTAAGTTCAATTTCAATTTCAGTTTCAATTCATGTTAGCCAATTAATTCCAAATACCCACTTTACAACCGAAATCCTCATTACCGTTCTACATCATTAAAGTCCATTTCCCAAAGTTACAAGCCCATATCAAGTAACAAAGGAATTGTCAAAGACAAAAAAAAAAAGAAAAAATATATGCTCTTTTCAATCCGGTCAGTAACCATCAACGGAGAGAATGGTAAGCTCTCTTAGACACCTCGCGGACCATTTGATCCACTTCCATCACGCAACGAGCCATTCATCTGGTCACTCTCGTCATACCTCATTTGGTAGCCTCGTTCGCAACAGCCACGTCACGCGAAAAGAGAATACGGCTGGAAAGCAAAAACAATGGTAAAGGAGTCGCAACGCAAAAATGTAAACAAAAAGCAAAATGCAGGCATTTGTACGAAACAACCTGCTTACCATTCACTCTTATAAACCCAAATGAACTCACCACCACGAAAAAAAGACCTGCATAATTTTCCTGTTGAAACCTACAGTCGACAGAACAACACAACAACAAACCCGCCTCCTCCATTTTCAAACCCAGAACTTCAGAGGTTTTTATGCACTGAAGCTGATCCGGGAGGAAAAAGGGGCGATTCAGACAAAGGAGAAACTCGAGGTTGTGTTGATGATGTGGATACGTTGACCGTTTCATTTTTCTGAGGGAGGTGTTTATGCATTGTGAATGTGGTTTCCCTTTTAAGATTGGTAGGTGAAGCATGATGAGAGTCTTACCTTGTTTCTTTGTGTTTTGGATCGATCCTCTTGAGGTAGTGATGGGCCTTAGGTCCATCCGTTTTTTTTCACCATCCACCCTGCACCCATACCAAGTCTTTGAGTTGATGATGGGCTTCTTAAAAGCCCATGTGATCCAAAGTTTTTTTAATCCCTTCAACTTTGCACACTATTTTTTATTTTGTTTTGTCATCTAATTTTTTTTATTAGTTTTTTATTTTAATATTTAAATTATCATTTATTTTGTTGGTTTCATTTACTTTAATTTTGATGGTTATAAGAGTTTTGTTGGTTCTAACTTTAATTAAATGAGTTTTTTTTTTAATCTTGGTGTTAGTATTAATCTCATCTTTTTCAACTTCTTTTCACTTTTACTTTCATTTTTGTTTTTTATTCTTAAGGGTCGATGAAGAGACCTGAAAGTTGTCATTTGTCACATTATTGACGAATGATAACAAGTCTGAGACCAAAATTCTTTTTACATTTTCATTTTTTATTTTTATTCATTTTTATTCCTGTTATCGTTTTTCGGTCAATGACAAAATTTTAAGAATTTTTATCAGTCAAACTATTGATTGATGACAGTTTATCCGAGACTATTTTATTTTCTATTTCGATTTCTTCTTCATTTCCATTTTTATTAATTTTTTCGATCTATGATGTCTTTCGATTTGTAAACGCCGTTTTATCGAAGTCGATAACCTTCTCGATTTCAAATCTATGGAAGATGATCATTTGGGTCATTTTCTTTACTTTGGGATCGCGATAGGATATCTTCGATTAATTGACATGATGTTTACGATTAAGACGAGATTCCACTTTTCTTTTAGTCCGTGCGACATGACTAAATTATGGAATGGTCATCAATACCATTTTTCTATCTTGTTTTAGCACATATATTAATTTACGCGACCTCCTATAGTTCGACTTTCATTATAAGTCGAACTACGACAGTTTAACATTACATTCGTCCCGACTCAATTAAATAACAAACTAACCACTAACTTTAATTTCAGTCAAATATACAACTGTCTTTACTTTTCTGTCAAATATCAACTGCTTTAAATTTCAGTCAAATATTATTGTGGATATTATTGTTATATTATCTTGCTATATTATTCATATTGTCATATTCATATTCTTCATTCTTATTCATCCATATTTGAAAACACTAAATAAATGATTGAAACGCTAAAAGCCTAAATTGGCGGACTGTTGGATCATTGATCATTTGCAGGAACCCTAACATGGAGTTGTGCCTGACTTTTGCTCAAGGCTTGGTTTTATGACACATTTCACACACACGGCTTTCTCTTTGGCTACCTGACAATGAGACCCATTTATTTCATGCAATCCCGTGTAACTTACATGTACCCCTCTCCCTTTCCGATGTACGTTTCGTATTTCTTTGATTATTGATTTATCTTCTAGGAGCACCCATAGGGACTAGCGTAGATCAAACTATTTTCAAACTAAATCTCGATTTATCATCGAGCCATTTTCAAACACCCCTCGTAAGTCGAGTGCTCGTCCGCACTCGCCATCAACCTATTACACACACTTCATCGTGGTTTTGATATTGGGAGCACCCTCAGGGACTAGTACCTTTTCTCACAACCTGGCCCTTGATGCATAGTCAAGCCAGTTCCGTATCCAAACCCTCGACTCGTCGTCGAGCCATTTTCTCAAACCATTTCCATTCCAACACATTTTGCACACGAATATAAGTCAAACCCTTGATCCAACGTTAAGCGGATTTTCTCTATCAAACTATTAATCAATTAACAATTATCTAACTATTTTCAAGGTGTAAAGAGAGGGATTGAGTCTTTGATCTCTCTTTCGGTTGTTTGGATGCGAGTTATCTTACTCGTGTGTGAGCAATTGACGCCTCTAATAACATTAACAACTCAACCATCGTTCAACCTTCGTCCAACCAGTCCTCATTTCAAGTACCACTCAAACACAACTTCTTTCAAGATGAAAAAGAGAGATAGTTAAGTCTTTGACTCGCTTTCCCGATTACTTGGGCTCGAGAAGTATTTCTTACGTTTCGAGTAATCGTCATTCGATCCCAACTTCATCTTTCAAAACACGACTTCTTTCAAGATGAAAAAGAGAGATAGTCAAGTCTTTGACTCGCTTTCCCGATTACTTGGGCTCGAGAAGTCTTTCTTATGCTTCGAGTAATCGTCATCCGATCCCAACTTCATGTTTCAAAGCACAACCTTCTTTTCAAGATGAAAAAGAGAGGTAGTCAAGTCTTTGACTCACTCTCCCGATTACTTGGGCCCGAGAAGTCTTTCTTACGCTTCAAGTAATCTTCACCCGTACCCACTTCAACTCAATTCAAACCTCGTCTTTTCGTGGTCGTTACCACGAACTATGGATGCTTTGATTCTTCATTCACTCTCGAATGTAAGATACGTAGGCACAAGATTACGACGATCTTGGCGAGCACATTTCCATTTTTCTCCGCTATTCCACACTTTTACCTTTCTCCATTATTTCGTTCACAATCCCCTTCATCTTTCGTTTCCCCCATCCTTTCCCGTAGTCGAACTACGTCGCTCTGATTTCTCATTCTCGTCTAAATGAGCATACGTAGGCACAAGGGCTCCAATCCTTGGCGAGCACCCTATCCTTTGACCACCCATTTTCCTCTAACGTCTTTTTACCTTTACCGTATCGTTTAGTATTCAGTATTGAGAAGAGAACAACTAAACTTAGCTAACGTTCATCACAATCTAAACTAAGAGGTTCCTGTTAAGTACAATGGACGTGAGGGGTGCTAATACCTTCCCCTAGCTCAACTGACTCCCGAACCCAAAATATCAGGTTGCAAAGGCTGTATTCCTTTTGTTTTAAGAGGTTTTCTCGATATTTTCCTCTCCCGTTTGTTCGGGATAAATAAATCCCGGTGGCGACTCTGTCGAACCGCATTTCCACGCCTTTAGCGTGATGGTCGTGTTTTCGAATGAATTTTTGAGGTGCGACACATACCTACGGAAGATTCTCGAAAAGTTTGGTATGTCGAATTCAAAGCCTTTGTTACTCCGACAAACCCTCAATTCAAGTTGAGTATAAATCAGTGTCCCAGTAATGATGTCGAAAGAGGTTATATGAATAGCATTCCATATGCTAATATAGTGGACTCTTTGATGTATGTTATGGTCTGTACTAGACCCGACATAGCATATGCACTAAATCTTGTAAGCAGGTGCATGACAAATCCTAGAAAGACTCACTGACAAGCATTGAAGTGGATTATAAGGTACATAAATGGGTCTCTGAATAGAGTCCTAATTTATGGTGGAGCCTTGGGTGAAGATAATAAAGCAGCAATTGAAGGAAATGTCGACTCTGATTATGCAGGTTGTATGGATTCCAAAAAATCTATTTCTGGATATGTGTTAACTATGTTTGGGACATCAATTAATTGGAAAGCTACACTTCTGAAGGTTGTTGCCTTATCAACCACTAAAGCGAAATTTATCGCCCTAACTGAAACTGTGAAGGAAACATTGTGGCTTGAAGATTTTACAAAGAAGCTGAAACTTCAAGGTCGAGTTATCACTATTAAATGTGATAGTCAAAGTGCAATACACATGTCAAAGAATTCAGCCTATCATGAGCGAACCAAGCACATTGATGTGAGGCTGCATTTCGTCAGAGAGGTAATCGAGCGTGGAGAAGTCCAAGTGCTGAAGGTTTCGACAGATTATAATGTTGTTGATATGATCACCAAGACGTTTCCCAGTTGTAAGTTTTTCCACTGTATGCAGTTGATAAAGCTGCATGAAGAAATCAAGTTTCTTGATGTTATAGAGTTAGATCCAAGGTGGAGATTTGTGAGATATTGGATCAAACTCTAGTATGCTGTCGGAGTAATGCGTGTTGTAGTCGAAGTTTATTCTAACATGCATTAGTCAAAATTGCTAGTTTTGTTAGCATGTTGAATTGGGTCTTTCTTGTAAGCCTAATTTTTTAAGTTAGTTTGTACCCTAATTTAGCTTGTACTGAGTAATTGTGAAAAACTCATTAGGTTAGTGTGTTAGTTTTCTTATAAATAGCATGCTAGTGTCTCAATTTGTATAAGAAAAAATAAGAAGATAAAATCATAATTCAAGAGAGAGAGGTTATTTGTTATTCTTGTATACTTGTAATCTTATTTGATAGATAAAGGAAAGAATAACAGTTTATAATCAATCCTTGTTGTTTCTTCTTGTTCTTTTTGCTTGTTTTCTTTGTTAACTCTAACCCTTGTGTGTTTCTTGTTTATAAATAAACCGTTTATATTTTGTTTGAAAACATTCTATTCACAACAGTTATCATCAAAACCCAAATGAAATATGTCAAAAACAAATCTTATTCTAACAAACCCACAAAACACTAAGACCGTAACAATGACCTCGAGACATACCGCCTAGCAACATCTACCCATAATCAAAGTCTTTTCTCACCATAAACCTCTTTTGTATCTTTGGTAAAATGTTCATCATTCTTAATTATTAGAGTAAGACGCTTCTGATAGTTATCCCGAAGAAAAATAACTCACATAAGTTTGAATAACCAAATACAACTAACATGAAAGTATTTTGAATAAAATTGTCTCATGTTAAGTTACTAACGTATTATTGATAAGGGAACCAAATGTTGATTATTGACTATTCTAATCAACCATTCCTCCTTTTCTTGTGAATATAATATTTTAATAAATGATTATGACTTGTACAAAGATTAAGAGAGCAAGAAATTAAAAACCTCTTAAATCTCAAATTAAAGTCTTATTTTTTGATTAATCGGTTGGTTATATTTTTGTTTCTGTTTCTTCTTATGGATCCTGAAAATTCTTGAGAAGAAAATTTATTAGAGGTTATGTCTCAGTATGGTTCTAGTTTTGTTTTTGTTTCTGTTTCA